AGTTTTAAAAATATTTAAAAAAATAGATGAAAATTGACCTTGCTCCCCCTTAACCCCGAAAATACTGAACCTAAAATTTTAAACAAAATATAGAAAATAGTTCTTTACTTATAGATTACAGGAAAGTTAATAAGAAGTCTATGGTCTAAACATAACGTGGTAAATCTTTCAATAAAACAATATTATGCGCATAAAAACCGAAACCTTATAGGATCGCTCGTTTGTTTGATCTGGTATATATTGGTTCGAATAAATGCAAATACATGCTTTCCTTTAAGAAAAGTTAAACTGATAAATCTATTTCAATCTTCATCTACCCTTCTAATCTTCGCCATCTAAAGTTTCTTTTTTGCGTACCGTTGACTAATTAAGTGTTTTAAAATTTTAATTTTGAATTCCACAATATCCTCAAAGTCTTCTCATTGTTCTCATTGCCTTCTCGAGGTTTCGAGCTGAGAATCGTCTTTGAAAGCAGCTTCAATAAAATAGAAGTTACTGAAGCAATAAGAAGTTAAAAGTATATTTTTCTTTATTTCGTATTGTTTACGTTGTTTACAGCGAAAATTCTTCGCTCCAATATAATTGAAGTACTTATTTTAAAGTTGATTATTGTGAAAAGCATTCTTTATTTTTCACTTTTGACTGAAGCAACGGCCACGTAATTGACCCAGTTTTAAGCGAGTCGTACGAACTTGTTTATTCGTATTTGTTTCTGTTACATAATTTTGGAAATGACGGAGCCATTTAGGTACACAAAATTCAGATTGCATTCGAATGCATTTATCTGTTGCAATAATCAGCTTATAAAAATCCCACAACTTCATTTAAAAACAAGGCACGATTCATTTGTCGCATATCAATGAAAAACAAATGAACGAGCTGCATTTAAATTTTATTTACAATGCTTTCAATTTGAAAAACGTTTTCTAAAACAACAGGACAATATAACTGCAGTAACAAGCCATTTTATAATTATGTATTTCCTTTTTTTTTTTGGTTATAGTAAGTATTCACTAAAGCATCATAAAACTAATGTTTTGTGCAAATATAGTAAAGATAACGTATCATTGTATTTGTTTCCGCTCTTATGTGATGATATGAAATGATCAATATGGCGTTTACTAGCCACCATTTGGGTCCTAGAAATGACTTTCTTTTTATAAAACAACTACCCCATTCTAGTTACCATCAAATTGTATTAACTGATGCTATTATCCATTGGTAATTAAATAATCTAATGAATTTACAACTGTTTTATTAACCTTAATGAAATAGGTAGATACAAAGATTCAGATGTTTCACACGTTTATATATAAGTCGTTTTTTCTTAATGTATTTTGGCGACAACCGGGGCAGCAGCAACCACAGGGGCAGCTGCCACCAAAGGCTCCTTTCTCACTACAGCATTAAATCCGTTAATGGGATCGGCAGAGTAATCCACAGTTCTCCTAGTGCCATCGGGATCGTTCAATGAGTAACTTCCTTGGACTACATCTCCGCTTCGACTTTCCACTTGGTACTTGCTATCTCCCGTCAAAACATCTTCAACATTGTATCCGTAAGAGTATTGAGGATTCACATCATATTCAGAGTCGACCAGAGCCTTGGCAGCTACAACTGGAGCAGCTGGAGCTACTACTGGTGAAGCGCGAACAAGTGGTGCTGGTGCAGGTGCGACATATGACGCCGCTCTAAAGACCGGAGCTGGTGCTGCGACGTATGAAGCGTAAGTTAGGGGTGCTGGAAGGGATGTGTACGCAAAGGGTGCAGCAGCGTATGCAGCAGGAGCAAATGGAGCTGTGGCGTAAGCCAACGGAGCTGCAGGGGCAACGATTCCTCCAGCTCTAGCTACAGCCACGAGGGCGGCAAGAACACAGATTCTGAAAGTCATCGTTGGTATTGGTATCACCGTTGAAAATCGACGAAGAACTGACTGATGTGTTGGTGGACGGGTGTCTTTTTATATTCATTTGAAGTTTCATAAAGCGTACTTAAGTCCTATTATTGTGTGCGGTTGAGGTCAAGTTTATCTTTGTGTGTCACGTAATACCGAAGAATTCTAATTGTTATACGTGGACGTTGATAGTGTGGAAATCGTGTGTCAAGAGGTCCGCAAGACGTTACTATACCTATGACTAATTGACTTTTACCTGCGTCAAGGGAACAACGTGAATTTAAGAGCAAATAAGTGATTACTTAAGATGAAATTATCTTCCAAAAGTAATGATAATTTTTTTTGATAGGTAGATATATACAACATTTAATTTGCTGCATTTTTTGAACAATTGATAAAATTTACTTTGAACATAAGGAAAGCCTTTTTTCAAAAATAAGCAGTTAACAACTATAAAACAACATGAAAAAATATTCGGCAATAGTCAGTTGTTACAATCAAAGCTTCTTTTACGTATCAGAACGCTTTTTATTAAACGTCTAATAGAATAAGGCATAAAACTTGACACTGCTATTGGTCAGATTCATTAACATTTTTCTCATTTCTTTTTTCAGGTGCCACAGAAAGTGAAAATCGAAAAATTCTATTCCAGCAGTAGAAGCAGGACTTCATTTAAAAAGGTATTTATTTTTAATTTTCATCTTTTCATATAAACTACATTTGTGTTTCCCAAACTTTATAAAAGAAAAAAATGTAATGTTAGTTTATTTCGTATGCTAATAAGGGTTCCACACGTCATTATTTACTAAACCTGTTAGTGTAAATTAATTAAAATTGGATTTTACAAAAAAAGAATAAAATTTATATTTCGAACTTTATTTACATTGAAAAGAATAGTGTATTCTATTTTTATACTACTTTTTAGAAATTACTTAATTAATTAATTAACTGCTTCTTACACACAAGCGGACAAACAACGTGTCACAATAAGAGTTCTTTTTTACTAATTTGGCTCGAAATCTCACTCAACGTGCCTCCATCAGTTAGAGACTTGTTTTAGTTCTTATCTATTTTTTTGCCAAGAAAATGGTTCTTTTACTTGGAAATGAGATTTAATTTGAATTAAATTTGGAAGAACCTTTGCTCTCAGGCAATTTTTTAGAANGAACCTTTGCTCTCAGGCAATTTTTTTAGAATTCTAAAGTCTATAAGGGTTATCGAAATCTTATTGCCAATAAATTGGAACCTATTATACTCAATTGACCGGAAAACCATGATATTACAAGAAAATCAATTGAAGTACTGCTGGACCAACGATACGTTGCCCCTCAGATTCTAATGCCCACAGACGCGCAATGGACGATCGCTATTCTATGTTAAAGTAAGTCATTATCTTCAAGTTCAACTGTTCTTCGAGGTAAAAACTCAACGCACATAAACTCTAAAACACCCAAAATTCCACAAAATGTTTAGTTATCTAAGACGCAAAGTGGGACATCTCCAGTTAGTTAGGTAACTAACCTCTTGTGAAATGTAAGGTGGTTTAGTGTTTATTTCCACAGTACTCCAATTGATTTCCTCACAAATATAATACAAATAGAGCAATAATTCTGCTATGTAAAACCAATAGCCTTTCTTAGCCTATTTTCACTGTGTGCTTTTAGTAAAACAAGATATTTTATTTATTATAACGTAAAAGTTTAAATCCCTTAAAATTTTCGGAAAGTATGGAATATTAACATTCAATCTATAAATAATTTCACCAGGTATTTTATTCAATAGCTAATCAATATTTGCTCTAAATCTGCTAGAGCGGATGGAAATGTAACATGGGATGTTTGATATTCCAGTTGATATATGATACACAAAAGTCCATTAAGGTGTACTCATTTTAACGTCAAATATTATAAAATTGACTTTTTACAAAAAGCCGGGGCCTCTTTCATCCACTTAGCCCCTTTTCATCTGCGATCGTAGCGTGTCTATCATGTTTCAATACTTCAAATACCGATTGAAAAAAGAGAGATATAATAAAACGACAGAAGTAATATCATCCATGAAAATTCGCTACGCTCTATCGGCTTTTATCTCTAATTTCAAAAAATATCTATGTATGTAAAAATTCTTTCGGCATGTTAAATGTTGTCCAATCTGATTTCACCTTCCTTCTGCCTCCGTACACTTTTTAATTACCGAATATGGAAGCGAACTAAATTTTTTATGAGTTCATTTTTTCCGGTTCTATGGATAAAGTGCATGCCTTTAATTGGTACTTAAAATTCTGAGCAAAGGCGTAATCTTACACACAAAAAGGTCAAAGTAACGAAATACGCATACGGACACTCAAATGTCAAGGAAAGGCCAAAATTAAGAGGTAGGTAAAAGCTCATACGTGACCGAAGAAATTGTTAAATACTTCCTACATTGTTTTACACAATGGCTATTTGATAATTTAAATACCAGTTGGCTATTTTTAAAAAAATGTAGGAAAATTAAGCCTCATTAAATACTGGTATGCAAGGGAAGATAAAGTAGGGAAAGAGCGAATATAATGATAGAAAACGAAAAATTAGAGAAATTAAAGAAGTGACCGATTTTAGGTTTCTAGGAAGTCAGATAAGTCAGGATAGAAGGAGCAGTAGGGATATAAAGCAGAGGATAGCGCAGGGTCGAGTCGCCTTCAATAACTAAGAAATTCGAAAAAGATTGTTAAAGGTGTATGTTTGTAGCATGGCGCTGTACGGGTGCGAAACACGGACAGTGGGCGCGGCGGAAAAGAAAAGGTTATAAGCGTTCGAAATGTGATAATACAGGCGAACGATGAGGAAACCGAGGATAGAGAAGGTTAGAAATGAAGAAGTATTAGCAAGAATAGGAGAACAGAGGACTCTATGGAAGTCAATAAGAAATAGGCGAGATAGGTTGGTAGGCCACCTTCTCAGGCATGAAGGTCTAGTCAGAGACATATTAGAGGCAGAAACGGAAGTTAGGAGAGGTAGTGGTAGATCTAGATTAGATTACTGTTCGCAAATAGTTAATGATGTGGGTTGTTCTAATTTTAAAGGAAATGCGAAGATAAGCTCAGGATAGGAAAGAGTGGAGGTGTGTGTCCAACCAGTCTTAGGAATGACGACCTTATGATGATGATGACGAAATTGAAAAATTAAAATTTCTAACAAATATTCCAAATTCAATCGTAGAAAAGGTTTTTCTTACAATGAAGTATTACTTTTTTTTTATAAACCAAAGTTTATTGAACTAAAAACATGAGTATAAAATGGTAAAATCATACAAAAATACAATAGAATTTATTAAGTACATAATTGTGTAATTAATTATAAGTGTTTTCATTAATTGCAAATATTTGTAAAAAATTCAGCACATAGTGTTCATATTGACTCAGTTGTTTTTGCATTAAACTTTGTACCCTAACAAAAACCATACAAACAATAAGAATATGAGACAATGTCCTTAAATAGCATTTTTTCAGGGGTTTTTCAAATTCTTTTTTATGCTGTATAGGAAATGAGTTTTGGCTATTCGACCAATAGAAACAATTTCCTTGGGATTTTTTAGTTTCAATTAAAAAGTCATTGGAATTATACCAAAATTAGTTAGTTACAATTAGTATGTATTGAGAAAAGATTTGATAAATAAATTTGATATTACATAAAAAAAATCTAAAATAATGATAAATTTTTAAAAACCTTTTCATAACTTTAGATTCGATAGTTTCAGAGATTACATTTTAGGAAATATTTCCACAAAAACCTACCAAAAAAAATTCCTTTGAGAATCATATTATTAGAATATGTTT